GGGATGCGTGTTGGGAGATAATGAGAAGGAAGCGCTGGAGTGAGAACAACTTTCCTGGAACATAGTACAGGGGTGGAGAGAAATGGGGTGGCGGCTGGAGGCTTTGTTTTGTATGCGTTAAAATCATTTTTTTAAGGTTTCCTGTGAATTAAAGGTCAAGATTCTGGTTATGAATGGTTGTAACTTAAACCACCTTGTTTAGCACATACAGAGCTATCGGAAAGTGTTTGTTTATGGAATTTTACTTATTTATGGAGGAAAGGGTTCTTCGGAGTGAAAAGTGCACATCTCCCCATTCCTCACCCAGGAAAGAATCACATGATGGCTGGAGACATTAGGTTGGGTGGGTATTCAGACAGCGTGTCTGTTGGGGTTGGGGAGGTCTGCGCCTTGGAGGTGCCTGGAGGTCACAGAATCACTGGCAAGGTGGCTCAGGGTCTGGTTATTGGAATGGGATGTCTTTTGTGGGGTTCAGGCCCCCAGCCTACCCTTGCCTCCAGATAAGAGCCTACCCTCCAAAGGCCACACTGTGCACACGAAGGCCTGGGGACGTATCCAGGGAGCTGCACCTGGCCCTTGTGCTTCAGGCCCGCTCCCTAACCCATCACTGCCTGTGACCGTGACCCTAGGTAAGCCCGCCTCTTGTCCCGGTGCACCTCTCTATGACGGCCTCCCTCCTTTCCAGATGGGAAGCCAGTGGAGGTGGACCCTCACCACATCCTCATTGAAGACCCTGATGGCTCCTGCACCCTCATCCTGGACAATCTGACCAGCGCTGATTCCGGCCAGTACATGTGTTTTGCGGCCAGCGCTGCCGGCAATGCCAGCACCCTGGGCAAGATCCTGGTGCAGGGTGAGCCTGGGAGGGAGGCTGGATGGGCACCCGGACACACCCACCACAGCAGTCCCCAAGGCGGTGCAGGCATTCGGATGGAGCTGGCAGGGGTTGTGGACATCTGACCCAAGTCTGGGGGCTCATTGGTCCGGGTGGGGTCCTGCACATTATGCCTTCTCTCTCTTTTTGTCTCTGTGTTCCTCTCTCTGTGTCTCTATCTCTCCATCTTTTCTCTCTGCCTCTCTACCTCTTCCTTCCTCTCTCTGTGTCTCTCAATCTATCTCTCTGTGTATCTCTTTACCTGTCTCTGTGTTTCTCTCCATTTCTCTCTGTCTCTGTCTCTCTCTGTGTCTCTCCCTTTCTCCTCCCCACCCTCTGGCCCCACAGTCCCCCCAAGGTTTTTGAGCAAGGTCCGGGCAGTGCCTTTTGTGGAAGGAGAGGACACCCAGGTCACCTGCACCATCGAAGGTGCCCCACACCCTCAGATCAGGTGGGTTAGGTGGACAAGGGGGGTGGGCCTGTCCCAGGGCCTCCACTTCTGCCTGTAAATCGAGGGTGGGCAGCTTGTTCACTGTGTTGGGGTCAACTAGACAGAAGCTCAGCCATTTGGGTGAGAAGTGGGTGTCCTGAGGGCGTGGCCTGTCTGACGCAGCCCTCGCTGCAGCAAGGAGGGACTGCCAGGCCGGATGTTGGGCAGATGGCATCCAAAAGGGTGGGCGCTATCAGGACACCAGGTCTGTGGTGTGGGTGAGGCGGGTCATGAGCACTGGGGGTTTTGGAGAGGCTCCACTGACTACGGGGCTGCTGGTTTCAGGTGGTACAAGGACGGGGCCCTCCTGACCCCTGGTGGCAAGTACCGGACCCTGAGTGAGCCACGCAGTGGCCTGCTGGTGCTGGAGATCCGGGAGGCCAGCAAGGAGGACCTGGGCCACTATGAGTGTGAGGTGAGCGGGGAGGATGCAGGGAAGTGGTGGGGAGCTTGCCGTGGGGCCACAACCTTGTCATCATCATCGATAACGCATGATGTAGAGAGGACACCAGGTTCAGGTCCCACAGGGTCCATGACAGTACACCAAGTCCACTGTCATGCACGTCCATGGATGAGACAGAAGATATCAGGTCCACTGTCACCACCATCCATGATGAGGGAGGGGACACAGGCTTACTGTCACCTACCATTCATGGTGAGAGATTGTACAACAGACTTACCAAAGTCCATTCTGAGACAGGGGACGCCATGAAACTGTCTCCCACCACCGTGGTGAGAGAGGAGACACCAGACCGACTGTCACCTTCTGATGAGAGGGAACACCAGGCCACTGTCGCACACCACCCATTACTAAAGAAGGGAAAACGGGCAACTGCCACCCCATCTATGATGAGCTAACAGGACTCCATAAGCGGGGCTCTGGGCAGGGTCTGTCCTGCCCTTCATGGTCCAGGGACAGTGTGTGCAGGCTGTGTCTGCCTGGGGCCAGCCTCCTCCATGGTACTGCTGCCGGCAGCCCGGGGTGGGCCGGGAGGGGTCTGCCCTCCATGTCAGGTCTCAAGTCAGCTTGGGCCTGTAAGTTCAATTCGGCCCCATGCTCTAGCCCAGGGGTCCTCAAACTTTTTAAACGGGGCCAGTTCACTGTCCCTCAGACCATTGGAGGGCCGGACTATAGTTTAAAAAAAACTGTGAACAAATTCCTATGCACACTGCACATATCTTATTTTGAAGTATAAAAACAAAACGGGAACAAATACAATGTTTGTATTTGCATGTGGCCCGCGGGCTGTAGTTTGAGGACCCCTGCTCTAGCCAGTCCTTACATCCCCAAAAGGGTGAGTCAGGCTCCCTGGACTCTAAGTGGCCTTTGCCGTCTGTGTCTGTCCCGCAGCTGGTGAACCGTCTGGGCTCCGTACGAGACGGCGTGGAGCTGTGCCTGCAGGGCCCTACCCTGCAGGCCAGGGAACCACACCGCCGCAGGGAGCACGTGGCTGTGGTGGAAGGTAGGTGCAGCCGCTGAAGGTCTCAGCCTGGCTGGATTTGCCACGCACATGGGCGGGGCTGGGTGGGGTGACACCATCAGTCCTTCCAATCAGGGTGTGCTCCCTGGAGAAGAGGCATTGGATGGAGGGGCTGCAGAGGCCCGACTGGAATAGCAGGTGGGTGGGACGAGGATGATGGGCCATAAACCCAGAACCCGGGCAAGGCTGGACTGACAACTCTAGGGCTCAGGGCCCAGGCCCTGCTCACCATCCCTGGGGAATAACGTATATAGAGGGCAGACCCAGGCCTGGGCAGCCCGTCAGGCAGCGGCCAGCAAGTCCTCGTGGGAGGGGTGGGAGGAACGGTAAGTGGGACAACTCCGCCTAAGAGAGGGCCCTAGCCAAGTGCAGAGTGTAGGCTGCTGGGCTCCAGCTTGGCTTCCAGGAGATGGAGCGGGTGTCATGATTCTGGTCCCTCCATACTAGGCAGGCTGTCCATGTTGAGTATCCCTGGCCTGGGGCCGCCCCTGGGGTCCTGGGAGCGGGAGAGGTGGACCAGACTACAGAATGGGCCTCATTTGGGAAGGAGGGCAGCTCACATCTGTCCTGGGCTGCTCAGTCTGAGAGAGCAGCCTTCTGGGGCTCACAGAGCAGGCTGCCACCATGGGGAGAGCTTCTCCGTCTGAGCTGCCTCACCTGGAAGGGGCTGTCTGGAAGGTGATGAGCCTCCCGTCCCTGGAGACATGCAAGTACAGGCTGGGCCAACAGCTGGTGGAGCTGCAACTCCCATAGTAGGACAAGTTGAAATGTGTGTCCTCCCAAATTCTGAAAGTTGGCTGCTGTGATCCTTGGCCACTAGACCCAGTCCCTCCCAGGACCCAGCGTCTGGGGGCCACTGTCTGTCTGGATCCTCACAGAGTCGACCACCTAGAGTTCAGAACTTGGCCTCAGGGCCTTTGAGACTCTCCAGGGCCCTCGCAGAGACCCATCCCTCCCTTGTGGGCAAGGGTTCTGGTTCCTCGTCCCCCAGAGGGCTGCCTGCACTGCCGGCCAGTTCTGCCGGAGGACAGGGCTATCTCTGGCACCTCCACTTCCTGCTGGTGGCACCTCCAGGGGGTGTGCTGAGCAGGGGGCTCGGAGCTCCCTCTCGGCTGAGGATAAGCACGTCCTACAGAGCCATTCTCTTCACTGTCCTGGTGGATCTTTTCTTGTCAATGTTCCGTGACCGGCCTCCAGTGCGGACAAGTGCTGTGCCTCACTCAGGGAGATGGCCGGTCCTCACAGACCCTGGAATTGGAGCCCGCCACCTCCCGCTTCCTAACCCTGTCCTGCTGCTTTATCGATAACTTGGTGGCCCGCAGCCAGCTGGCCCTGTGGAGAGGGCGCTGCCCCCTCGCTTGTGAAACTGCACTGGGCTGGAAGTCCTGCTTCGCACGTCTGCACCCCTCCCACGTTCGCCAGTACTCACCAGGGCCCAGAGCCTATCAGGCTGCAGTTAGGTCAGGAACAAAGCCATCTAGGGGTGCCAGACCAGCACTCCCAAGAGCACAGGATGGGCCCGTCAGGGAGGATGAGAGGCAGAGGCCTGGTTCTCCCATTGCTCTGCGCAGAGGGTCTGCCCAGCTTAGACAAATCCATGGCATTTTGTCTGAACCCATTCTCCCAGTGGGCTGCCCTCTCTCCAGGAAGCAGCTTGCACAAATACACACATGCATGCACACACATACACCTGTGTGCATACCCACACAGGAACACACGTACACACCTGTGCACACACAGAGACTCAGCTAGTACATTTAATTCACATGCACCTAATCAGAGACAAGTCTAAAACGCCCTTGGTTGCCTAAAGCAAAGCCTTACTCCATGTGGCTTTGCAGCAAAACAGAGCCTCCCCTTCAACTTACACAGGACAGTGAGAAGGGATGCTGAGATTTGAGGGAGCTGGTAGGCGGTGGCATCCTTGCTGTCCAGGTGGGCAAGACTGGGTGGGACACCCCTGAGCCAAGCCTGACCCCGCCCAGAAGCTGCAGAAAAGAGGCCTTAAGATGATTAGCATAACTGCTGCCTGGCCCCAGACAAGTCCTGTTCTGTCTCTGGGACTTGGGTCCCCCATCACAAGACAGGAGTCACAGGCCCTATCCTGCTGCTCCGGGGAGGAGGAAGCTAGGCGCTCCTGTGAGAAGACCTGGGTTGCCCAGGCATCTGCAGGCTGCCCCCATGGGCCTCTGTGTTCTCCAGCCGTGGAGCTCAGATGTGCCTCCTCCAGGACTCCAGCCATTCTCTCCTAGAGACACCTTTCGTCTTTAGGGGTTTTTTTTCCTGTAAAATGGGCATCAGCTATCCTGGTTCTAGTTTGGCTGCTTGCTCACTGTGCAGCCACAGGCTACTCCTTCCCTCTCTCTAGACCTCAGTTTCTATGTCTGAGAAGTAGGACTTTAGGCCTGACAAATTCCCAGGGTTCCCTAGGCACATAGCTGAAGGAGAAGCTGGGATTCTGTGGGGGCAGCCTAGGAAAGGGCCTTGCTCTATCTGAAGCTTCTGTAAGACCCTCAAGAGGGACAGGTCCTGCCCTCATGGAGCATGCATTGCCATACCACTCAAGGCAGACAGATCAGCAGCTCAATGAGGGAACTAGTGCTCTAAGCTGAGACAGTGTCCCAGGGGCACATGGCCCGGCAGGGCTTGGACCCAGTGCTCCTAAGCTGAGCGGGCTACTACACTGCCATGCCACTTAGCTAGCTCAGCCCAGCCCTACGTGCTGACTGATCTGTAACCCTCGCTATTCCGACTGTTTTCTTTGTAGTCACTGAGCAGGAGACTAAAGTCCCCAAGAAAACCGTCATCATGTAAGTGCAGGCGTGTTTCTAACCTTCCTTCTGACTGCCGTGCCACCTGCATGCCCACTAACCCACCCGGACCTTGCCCGTGTGGTCTGGCACCTGCTTGCCTGACTGCCTGCCCTCACTGTCTTTGCTTGCCACACAGACTGCCAGCACCTTGCAGGTACTGCCAGGGAGTTCACTCCCCTGGGACTTGGCTACCTTCACACTCAGAGCTTTCTCTTTCAGGGCCTCAGAACCCTCTCCATGGCTGCACTGCCTCAGGAGGGTAGACTTACTCTGCACACTTCACAGTGTCTCACCTAGAGTCACACCTGTTAGGGTAGACCTGGGACTGACAACTGTGTCCTGCTGGGCTAGAGGCATATTTCTGCCCTTCAACACCCTGGCATCTAGGGTGTTGCTGTCCAACAGAATTTCCTGTGAGGATGGAAATATTACAAGTTTACAGTGTCTACTACAGCTGCATGTGACTATTGGGCATTTAAAATGTGTCTAATGCAAATGAAGAACTGAATTTTAAGTTTAACTTTCACTAATTTGACTTCAATTAAAATAGTGTAACCATAGCTCTGGAGCCCTTAGACATCTCCAAGTCCAACCCTCACATTTGAAAGACGGGGAAACTGAGGTTCAGGAAAGAAAAGAGGGTTTCTCAGGGTGGCTTGTGAGTCAAAGCTAATGAAACACCCATTTCCCCGGTGCCACACCCACTGTCCTTCTTCCGGGCCTTTAAAGCTGGAAAAAAAAGACATATGGTTATTATAATTATTTAATTATTTAATTATATAATTTAATTATATAATTAAATAACACAGAGGTCCAGAGCTAGTTGAAGCCATGAGGGCGGGATTGGTTTTGACCTGGACAATCTGGAAGGACTTCCAATGGGAGATGTGTGCAGGTGGATGTGGTGGAAGAGCTTGCAAAAGCCAGGAGGCAAGAAAGGCGATCGTTTCCTAAGGCCAGGTGACTGAGAACTCCAGGACGGCAACCTCTTAGTTCCCCAAGGGCCTCAGGCCTCTTAAAGGGCCTACAGTTAGTCATGTTGCTAGAGAATCCCATATTCACACGTTTGATAAGGTCCTGGTTAACCTTCCTTGACTTCCTTCCTCCTCCCACAAAGCAGGTCGACACCCCACAATAGATGGGGCTGCCTGGGGCAGCAATGAGCACCCCATCCCTGGAGGTATGCAACTGCTCTGCAGCTTTACACAGATCAACTCTACATTTCATCCATGAGAGGAGCATTGTTATTTTCACATTTTATGGATGACATAATGAGGAGCAGAAAGGGGCCTGG